TCAATGAGAAAGCTCTAGATATCAGTACCTCTAAAATTCTCCTCCAAATTCATCTTCAATTTGTAATGGCAATGGAAAGAGTAGAGGGATTAATAAGCATGGGCATTGTTCTTGGGTAAAGCATTGGAAGAGGCTGAAAAGCCTTCTGAAAAGACATAATGACTTGTAATTGAAGGAGAATGCAGGAATGTTCTAGTCTGCTAACTAGGTAGTGAGAAAGAAAATGGACCATTAGTTGTCTGTGGAGTTGGAGCTTGGGTGCATTTTAAGGGCACTAATCAGCTACAGAGAAACTTATTTTCACTCTTTTGCTTCCTTTGAGGAAAGGGAAGTTGCTATATAATCTCTGATGGGGAAAGGCCTCAGCCCTCACTCACCGTTTGAGATCAGCATATGTAGTGAATGAACACAGGACTTTGTTTTTTGGCTCTTTGCATTTTGTTTTTTTCTTACTTTTCAAAGAAGAAATATTGGAGAGAGCTATGATTTTGTGAAGTTCAAAGGTCAAAATGAATAGCTACTAGAGGTCAGAGAGCTAGAATCAGTGGCAGGATTTGAAGCACCAAAGCTTGAGCCCATGCCAGATTTTGTGGCCAGGCCAAATGGTGAGAATCAAAGTTGAAGGTGACCTGTTTGACCCAGCAAAGACTGAAGGCAGGCAAGACAGAGTACTTCATCTTTGGATGTGAATTTGGTGGGGCAAACATTATGCAGAAATTGCTTTAATTTTGAGCCCACTCTCCTCAGGGACCAAGCTGGTATAGAGTAGGCCCAGGGTTTTGGAGAGAAGAGGTGCTTGTATTTCTGGGTTTGCTATTTCTTCAAAATAAATATCCCTCTGTAAACAAACAAACAAAAAAGTCACCTAGCTGGCAAAGTGGACAGAGTACTGGGCCTGGAGTCAGGAAGACTCATCTTCCTGAGTTCAGATTTGGCCTCAGATACTTACTAGCTGTGTAACCCTGGGCAAGTTACTTCATCTGGCTTTCCTCAGTTTCCTCAGCTGTAAAATGATCTGGAAAAGGAAAAGGCAAACCGCTCCAGTATCTCTGCAAGAAAACCCCAAACGGGGTCACAAAGAGTCAGACATGATTGAACAACAACAAAATCCCTTTGTAAAAGCTAATTGATGTTAATTTGTTAAATGGAACAAGAGTGCTAATTGCTGGAGACTAACAGTGGGAAGAAACACAATGGAATAGAGGATCAATTAGAAAAAGATACCTCCAACCCTAGAATCCTGAGGGGGAGAAAGTGAGCATAGAGTCTCACAACAACCTAATAAATGGCACCATAGCTAAAGCTTAACTGCACTGGAAGGGGGCAGGAATGGGTTATCCTTCATTGTATTAATACTAAATTGCACTTATATAGTGCTTTAAGGTTTAGAGGCATTTAGCTCATTATTTTATTTGATCCTCACACCAATGCTTCAAGGGAAGCAGTACAGGTATTATTTTCCCCATTTTACAAACGAAGAAATTGAGGGTCAGAGATCCCCAATAAATAAGATTCAAACCTATATCTAAGGATTACAAATCTGAAATCTAATTCTTGGCAACTTTCACACATTTCTCTTAGCTCTTCCTTCTAAGGCCAAGAAAAACATGCCTCATCATTCTTACCCCTAATCGCTCTGCAAATACTTGAATTTGCTATCATCCTCCCTCCCCTCTAAGTTTTCTGCTCCAGCCTTGGCATCCTGATTTCCTTATGCCAATCATCGTGTAGCTTATATAACTTGTGAGGAAGCATAGCTTAATCCCCACTCCCAAGGACAAGTTTTTGGGTCCCAGAGCAAGGCTACCACAGGGCTCTAGGGGTACCCCCTGAGGAGTAAGGGTGATTTTCTTGGTTTTGTTTGTCTTTATGTAAGGCAATTGGGGTTAAGTGACTTGCCCAGGGTCACACAGCTAGAGACTGTCATGTGTCTGAGGCCTGATTTGACTCAAGTCCTCCTGACTCCAAAGCCAGTGCTCTACCACCTAGCTGCCCCATAAGGGTGATTTTCTAATGCCATCAGTTCAAGATCACACCGGTGTCCGTCCCACTATCCCCTAAGATTATCAGTTGAGAATCATTGCAGTCAGCCAGCCCTAATTAGCTTTCAGAAAGGCAGTACCAGAAAAATAGTAGGTATAAAACATCCTTCCAAAAGTTGGTGACATTCTCCTGCTTTAATGCAGAACATTATTTTGCCATTTAGGTAGTAGGGCCCTTTAAGCCATGGAAAGCAAAAGTTGCTGCTTAATCTTGCCCCAGACCTCTTTCCTCCTAAATCTAAACAATAGTGAAATGTACTCTTACGTAGCTCAGCACAGCCCATACCTCCAGTGCAAATGGATAAGAAAGCTTGCAATATAATTGCTTTAGATAATTATGTTTATACCAGAGACCAGGACACCTGGTCTGGTTTGTGCGATCTCTGACCTGTAATGATGGGGTGCTCGGGTGCTTGTGCTTGTACTTGTGCCCCAATTTCTCCCTAGTCTCAGAAACACTGTCTCTGACCACCACTCCCCAGCCCAAGGACCCTGTGCCTAGCAGTTATTCATGCATGGGCCTCAGCATGACACTTATCTCTCTCCCTGGTACAGCTACACAGAGCTGGGCTGCTCAGTCCCCAGCCCTCAGATCACGTCTCTGGAAGCCTCCCAATTCCTTAGTTGTGAGAAAGCTTTCCTTTGTTGCAGAGCATTCTCTCATCAAGACAGAGGGAGAGGAGTGTCCTTGACCAGCCCAAGAACTCTTCCTCCTGCCAGACTTCAAAGATCCACCCCCCTCCCTGTCCGGTATACTCCCTGTACTTTCCCATCCATAGCCCCCAAAGACACCTGCACCTTTGGATTACCTCATCAGTGTTCCTGGCATTTCTTTCCCATGCTCTTTTCCATATAAACCCTAGATCAACCCCTGATCGGGGCTGCTTGATTTGGATGTGCATACTCCTTGCAGCCCCATGCTGATAAATCCACATTTTAAATTATGTCTGGGTCTTGCTCACTGATTTCTCAGTACAGCACCACTAGTATGTAGAGGGTCCAGGGGAAAGTAGACTCAAATCTAGAAGCACATGTAGTAAAGGGGTAACTCAGAGCTGGAAGTCCTTTCCTCTCTTTCACAGCAGGTACAAGAAGATTCCCTTAGGCAGACTAAGATACATTTTCTCTCTCTCTCTCTCTTTTTTTTTTTCAATTCAGCATGTATTTATAAAGCCCCAGTAATGTCCTAACTACTGGGAGATACCGAGAACAAAATCAAACGATCCCCACTGTAATATAGCTTACATTCTACTGGGATCAAGAAAAAATATATACAAAGCTGAAATAGGAAAAGCTATTATCTATATAGCAGTGCAAGTAGGCACAATTATTTTCATATAACCAAATGCATACATCCATTTGTCCAGCAAGTATGCATACCTTATTCTCTCTCAATCAGGGGCAGATTGTGAGAGAGCAATCATTGGTCAGGACTTTCTTGGAAAGACAGAACAAGGGTTTGAGCAGTTCTGAGAAGGAAGTACTAGGCAAAGTACAAATTAGATATCTTTCTTTAACATGATAGAATAATATCTCTCCATGGTCATAGTCAAGGAAAACGCCAACCCTTAAGTTGGGCACACTGATCTGGTGGTATTTTTTATGGATTTGGGAATCAAGGTTGTGCTGGGCTATGGCATAAAGATAGTGCAAATTCTGCTTCTGTGCAGTCACAAGCACAAAGAAGTCTCAAGAATCTTTTGATTTTTTACAGATGCCAACGCACCAGTCAGTGTTATTTGGCACTTCCACTTTCCAATACCATCTCCTTGAAAGGAAGGACTGAGTACCAAGAACTTTGGGCAAAATCTATAAATCTCCCACTAGTGTTGGACACTTCCTCCTGGATACCTCCATACCTCACACTCTTCAGATCCTCAGATATAATGAGGTCCGGAGCAGCTGTGTTACCATCCAGAGTGATGTCCACTTTGAAATTGAAAATCTTTTCTATAATTCCAGGGATGAAATACATGGTCATGTTTATAGGAAGGATTTCTGTTTCCCTCTGCCGTACAGATTCATTCCTAGTTAACACTCCTTTCATATCCTGGAGCAAATCCACATCTGGTTTCTTACACTTTTCCTCTAACTATGATTTTCTTCCTTAATTCTTGACTCTAATAGGACAGTCCACGTACTCTCTCGCTCAGGCTTTCCAGATTGATATGCATCTTTCTCCTCATCCAGGAATTGTTGCATTTTCTCAAATTCAGACTCAATATTTTTCTTTTGAATCTCCATTTCCTCCTTTATCAGTGCAAATTTAATCTTCTCATTAGCCCTCTGTTTAACAATGATCTCCATTTTCCTCCACAAATGAGTCATGGTTTTCTGGAGCTTCTCCCTGAAGTTCTCAGCATCCTTACCTATGTAACAGAGTTTGTGAGCCTCATGCTCCTGGGACCAAGAACAGGACGCACAGACTGGATTCTGGTCATCCTCATAGAACCACTTCTGCCCTTTTTGATGTATTTCATACTTCCCATATCCTTCAGGGTAGTGAAAACAATGGGGTCTTAGCTTTTTGGTTTTTTTGGTTTTTTTGCTATGGCTGCCAGTTTCCCAAGTCTCACATTGGCTTTGAAATCCCTTACCTGGGAGATACTCTTGCACTCTGGACAGAACAAAGGGGTTGAGGCTTCCTGCCAGCTCCTGAGGAGGCAACCTCAGGCTACACTCAATGAACACTGGGTGCGTGAAGTACTCCCTGCAAATGGAGCAGGTGAGCTCTTTCTGGAGGTCTTGAATCAGCTCAAGGGAAGAAGTCATGTTTCTTCTGACCTGGTTTCTGCCTCAGAGCTTTGCTTACAGCACACAGAGGGAAATCTCTGAACCTGCCTTATTCTAGTCCTTTTATATACCCCTTATAAGGCCTTCCTTCCTACAAGTTGTGAAGTCTTGGTTTTCACTTGACCCTGAGGCTTGCATAAGTGAGAATAAAGGCATTCATAGACCATGGACCTGGGAGAAAGAGTTTGTGCTGGTAACTAGTCCTTTCACCTGCTTGCATTTTCATTTCCTCTTTAAAATGTTTCTTATCAGGAAAACTGATGCTCCACAAAGGAATTGATGTTGGAACGGGAAGAGAGGGGAAGGGAAGACAGAAGAGAAACGCAGAGGAAAGGAGAGCAAAGAAGGGAGAGGGAGAGGAGAGAAATTGCCCAACTATAGGATGCATTTTCTTTGCTGGGATCATTGTGGAGCTATGAATCAATAGCCAGTAGACACTTTTGGCTGATCTGGGGAGGCCACTAAGACCCCAGCAAAAAGTCTAACATCTTTTGGACTCAGAAGCTTGTATGGTCCTTTTCTGATCAAAGAATGAAGGTGGAAAGACATCTGGGCCAAAGCTAAAGCCGAGGTTGAGGTGTGGGCTTCCCCTCCCTTCACCCAGTTACTCTTCAGAAATTTTACTGCAACTTGTTCCAGCATCTCTAAGAATCCAACAATCTCTATAAATCTCTAAGAATTCTGGTTCTAATTACCTTGATAATTTATACATGATCCATATGATATGACCAAGTTTCCTAAGATCTCCAAACAGGATTCCTTTTCCAAGGACTTTGCTCATGCTTCTTCTTAAGCCCTATGATTGATTTAAACTAAACCCTGACATTGATTGATGACTGTTTTTACCTGATCAAGGTTCTAAGTCCTCTTACAATTTACTCTAAGTAGGGATGGGGTGACTTGATTAGTAACTCAACCAACCATTAACGTGGTGTTCTTTCTCTGGGGGAACAAAAAAAAAATTCCTTTAGATCCAATTGCATCAGTAAAATAGGTTTCGTCTTGAGGTTTATAACAAATCTAACACTTGGATGCAGTTTGTGGTCAACCATCTGCAGTCTGAATGTGTCCAAAATGTTCAGCTCAAGCCTCCCTGGACTACTTCAATTTTAATTATCCGTGTAGCCACGTGAATTTCACAATCAAAAGTCTCACATTAGGGAAACTGTTGTGTTTATTTGGTAGCACATCAACTACCATTGTGTCTTTCAATTTGAGAATCACAAAAGACCTAACAAACCTTAATTGATTATATGCATAACCCCTCAGGTATGCCTGAACTATCCTTGATTAAATGGAATAGAAGAGACCAATGGAATGATCAAGTAAAGGCCAAAGATGAAGTTCTAACATCCATCACTGACAGAACTAGGAGCCCCAAACGTAACTTTAGATCTGATTCTGATTTTAATCCAGGATATGTAACATCAGGGAACTGACTCTTTGGGGGCATGGAAATAGGACAAAAACTCCTAGTTAAATTTCATGTAGTCCCCTCTACTTGAAAACTATTTTTGCCTTCTTTATTATTGCCTGATTACAACCATCTTGTCAATGATTAATTAGTAAGCAGGGATTTATTGGGTACCATCAACAAGTTCACTACTGTCCTAAACTCTATATGTTATGCAAAAATGTAAAATACGTAAAATATATTCTCTTCTCTCCAGGACTTTCAAGTACAGCTAGAGAGTCAGGAAAAACACAGAAAGCAACAACAAACATCAAACTGGATAAACAGAATAGGCCTGAAATGACTGGTAGCTTAGAATAGATTAGGTAAAAAACAGGGATTGACATGAAGGTTATTGAGCAGAAGAGGAAAATAATAAAAATGGTATTAAGGAATATTAGGCTAGCAGTAGTATGCAGAAAGAAATGACTAGGGGGGCAGCTAGGTGGCGCAGTGGGTAGAGGATCTGAGTTCAAATCCGGCCTCAGACCGAACACTTGACATTTCCTAGCTGTGTGACCCTGGGCAAGTCACTTAACCCCAATTGCCTAAAAAAAAAAAGGCAGAAAAAAAAAAAAGAAACGACTAGGAAGAAAATTGGCATCCAGGAGTCCAGCTATGAAATTGTTGAAATAATCAAGGTGATAAGAGTCTAGGTTAGGCTAGTAGCAATGAAAACAAGAGTTACAGATAAAAAATATCTAGAAAGAAACATTGGTAGGATTTAGTGATCAATGAAAAGTGGGATCAATGAAAAGATTAAGTCAAGTGTCCTAAATTGTATGAGCCAAGGTAGATACATTTTATAGCAATTCCCAGCAAAATTTTAGATTGCCAAATTGATGGTTTGTGAACTCTTAGAAAAGAAAGCAACAATCAGGAGCCAGCATGAGATTACTAAGAATGAATTTTAAGTCTGAGAGAGTCTAGCACCCAAAGAAGTACAGAGGAGATCACTAGCAAGATGAAACAAGGTCAGAAGTACCTTTTATATTTGTGTTGCAAAGCTCAGATCTCACAAATAGTCACTTTCCCACAGTTGGTTGCAGCAAAGGTTAGCCAAAAGAGCTGCTAAAGAGAAGACAAAGGGCTCTACAGGAGCTTGTAGGTAGCAAATATAGGAAGTAAGAAGAATTTGGTTGTGAGCTGAAGAGAGTGTTCTATCTTTGTTTTTCTGCCAGTCACATAATGTCATTGAGTGTACAAACTGAAAATTGCTCTGTTTCTTTTAGAGAAGAGATCGAAAGGCCTGGAGGAACTTTTCTATTCCCTTCACTATCAAGGACAGGTGCTCCTTGAAAGTATAGCAGTGATTCAAAAGAAAACAAGGAAGAAAAGACATGTGAAGAGGAAAGGGGAATTCCTACCTATATTAGGAGATTAAGGGTGGAAGAATAGATATGGAGAAGGAAGGGAAGAAAGACCACTGGAGATTTGGAGCTGTATCATATTTGGAATGATTTTGAATGATTTTTTTTCTTGTAAAAGAAGAGCTAGACCATGTTTGGGAGAAGCAATTTCCTATGCTCCTAGGAATTATGATGCAGCTACACAGGAAACCTAAGGTGAGTAAAGATACCTTCTAAAAATAGTAAAAGGATTAAGAGAAGAGTACTGATAGCTGTTGTAGAGGGGTAATGAAGCAGGTTTTTTCGGGTTTTGTTTGGTGGTGGTTGTTTCGGTTTGGTTTTGTTTTTTTTACCCCAACATAAACAAAAAAGAAGTTTGCTATATGCCTGGGGCATGTATTCAGAATATGATTGAGACCCTCCCGAGATTTACCAAACCTGCTTCTGATGATTCATGGGGTCAAATGATAGCACCAAAGGGAACCTAGAAAGCCTTGCTAAAGATGTTAAAGTCCTGGGCAAAATACTTAAGAATGTGGGAAGGCAACAAGTATGTTCATTACTACTGCTGATTGAAGATAAGAAATTCAGTAGAGGAAAGCAGATTTGGGAAGTGAAAAATGGTTACCAAGAATAAGACTTAGATTTCTGGATCCTGGCTTAAAAAACAAATAAGGATGAGCTTGGAGCAAATGATGGAAAGCACCTAAATATATTTCCATAAAGGGAAAGGAGAGAACTAACTAATTTAGTACCATAGAGAATCAAATCTATCTATTTTATAGTTGAGGAAACTGAAGCCCATGCAGATTAAGTCATTTGCCCAAGATTACATAGGTAGTGAATGTCAGGGAACTTCTGGTTAAGATACTGGTGTGAAAAGTTGTACAGGTCTCCCAAATAAGTATACACCAGCATATGCACAAAAAATTAAAGTGCTAGACTGATAATCAAGAAATTCAAAGAGAAACAAGAGTAGTCTCCCTCTTCCAGGAATGATTGGGACTCTTTTGCCAGGGAAGCCATTGAAAGCTCAGGGGGAAAAAAAAAATCTCAAAGTCTATCAGTACCCTTAGAGGAAACATTCCAATACCTGAAACCTGCAGTTCCCTAGCAGGCAAGAAGCTTGGAATGCAAAGAAAGGGAAACTCTAGGGCATTCCGAAATCTGCAGCACTCTGACCGTGAGAGGGGACCAGGAACCAGCAGTTCTCTGAACAGGATGCTCCAGAAGGACTGGTAGTCCATAGCACCTCAATCACTCCAGAGGATCCTTAAAACTACAGAGCTCTGTTGAGGAGAGGTGGGAGAGAGGGGACCTCAGAGTGCTACGACAAGGAAACTCCAGGAAGTTTGGAATACCACTTGCCTTCTGACCACAGACCAGCGAGCAAAGCTGGACTGGGACAACAAGAAAATTTGGAGTCTACAGTACTCTGATTAAAGATATGCCAAGGGGCCCTGAAGAATTAAGCCCTCTGATTCTGTATAATAAGTAGAACACCTTACCTAAATAACAGGCTCCCTGAAAATTTGAAACAAGTGAAACTACTCCATGAAACAAAAATATTAGAATAAATCAAAGGTTTGAAGAAAAAAAAAAACAGAAGAAAATATGAGGTATCCACTATGAAAACCACGGACACAGACTAGGTCAGAAAGGGATACTTGGAAGAATCACAGGACTCCAGCCGGGTATTGGCCTGACGTTGATCAGGCCCAGGTTGCGGTCACCAATTCAAGGGCTGGGGTGTACGTCAGGGTTGACCCACGCCGGCTGTGTCCTCCTCTCCCCCGCCCCCAGCACTTCACGGAGCATGTTAAACATGAGTGTCACTTTGTGAACGGGACGGAGCCCGTGTGGTACGTGCAGAGATTCATCTACAACCGACAGGAGTTTGTGCGCTTCGGCAGAGACGTGATGAAGTTTGTGGCGGTGACGGAGGTGGGGCGACCCGATGCTGAAGATTGGAGCAGCCGGAGGGATGCCCTGAGAGCTATCGGGCTACATGGACGCTTACTGCAGACGCCAACTACGAGCTGAGCCCGAGGCGATTGTGTATCCATCAAAGATGGCCCCTCTGGGACACCACAACCTGCCTGCTCTGCCAGTGGTTTCTATCCCGGTAACACTGAGGTCCGGTGGTTTCTGAATGGACAGGAGGAGACAGCTGGTGTTGTGTCCACAAGCCTGATCAGCAATGGAGACTGAACCTACCAGATCCTGGCGATGCTAGAAATGACTTCAGGGGAATGTCTACACCTGCCAAGTGGAGCACTCCAGCCTTCAGAGAACTGTTGACTGGAAAGCACAGTCTGAATCTGCCCAGAGAAGGATGCTGAGTGGAGTTGGGGGCCTCCTGCCGGGGCTAATCTTCTTTAGGGTTGGCTTCATTGTCTGTAAGAGGAGTCAGAAAGGAAATCGTGGTTCACAACCAGCAGGGTACCTGAGCTGATTCCTGAGGCTGTGTCCCCTGGAACTGTTGCCTCCCCTAAGCCTCCCTCCCACATTTGGACACTCTCTGCTTGTGCCCAGATCTCCAGGAGGTTAGCCCTACTGACCCCTTCCCTGAAATACCTTATTCCTTGTATCTTTGTCTGTCTGGACTCTGACATTTCTCCAATAGAACTTCAAAGACCCCTCCACATTCCTTTGTTCTTGCATCCATGTTTTATCCATTCTTGTCCCTTGAGCTTTCATCCCAATAAATTAAAAGAGTGAGAATCAACTGATGCTTGGTGACATGGAGACAAAATAGGGTGGGCAGGGGAAGAAACTTTAGCATTTTGGGTCTGTGTAATCTGTCAATATGTGAAATGTCTCCAAAGGTGAAGACTGAAACCCATGCACACATTTCCATTCTGAGTACCTCTTGTATGTATCCTTCCATAAGTCCTTTAGAGGGCAATTCCCAGCATGCCACTGGCCTTCCTCTATGTCTCTTGACCTGGATATCAATGGCCCAAGAATCCTTCCCTTTCCCTATGTGACAGGGCCCATTTCATTTTGGTCATACATCTTTTCTGATGACACTGTGTTTGTCCCTGTTCTGCTCAGTTCTTCCTTGATGATATGCTATAGCCTATGTTTGCCCATCACGTGCCCCTCCACTGCACTTTAAAGAAAGGAAAATTTTACTAATGATTTTTGTTAAAAAAAAAAAAAAAAGAAAAGAATCATGACTCCATGAAAAATAGGACCAATAAAAAACTTGCATATCATATTTCAAGAGTTAATAAATAAAAATCGTCCAGATCTATTTGAACCAGAGGAGGAAATGGGGAGGGGGAAGTCTTTATAAAAGTCACAGCCAAAATCCAGAGCTTTTAAGTAAAAAAAAAAAATATATATAATATATATATATATATATATATATATATATATATTCCAAGTACCCAGAAAGAAAGAGTTCAGGTAATAAGCAATCACAATATCACAAAAGACTTGTCAGCAACTAGTTTAAAAGAGAGAAAATCTTAGATTATGATATTCCAAAAGGCAAAATATAAAGACATATCCAAGAATTACTTACGCTACAAAAGTATAATCCTCTTGGTGGGAATGGGAATGAGGAGTAGGAATGGACTTTTAACGGAACAGAAGATTTTTAAATATTCCTGTTAAAAATTCCAGAGTATTCAAATCTGGCCATGGATACTTGCTAGCTATGTGACCCTGAGCAAGTCACTTAACCCTATTTGCCTCAGTTTCCTCATTTGTAAAATGAGCTGGAGAAGGAAATGACAAACCACTCCAGTATCTTTGCAAAGAAAACTCCAAATGAAGTCATAATCAGATACTACTGAACAAAAAAAAAAAGAAAAGAAAAAGAAAAAAGGAAACAAGTGTTTATTGAGCACTTACTACATACCAAGCACTGTGCAAAGGGCTTTATATACATTAACTTCATTTGATCCTCATAACAACCCAGGGGTGGGGGGAGAGATAGGTTCTGTTATTCTCATTTTAAAGATGAGGAAAGCCAGACACTGGTAAAATGACTTGCCCAAAGGCACAAGCTACTAAGTGTCTAAGGCTCCATTTGAATTCAGGTCTTCCTAACTGGAGGCCCAGCCCTCTATCAGACTTTTTTAGATTAGTTCTGAGTGTTACCACAAAATTCCAATGTTTAAGGAATAAATTGGACATACAGCCAAATCAATTCTACCAAGATCACACACCCTTTAAGTTAACATTATATTTCATTATTTTAATAATATCGTTAGTTCATAGAAGGACAACATTTAACTGTTGAAAGAGTACTAACAGAAAAGGGAACATAAAAAAAAAATTGGAGAAGTGAAGGAAGTTCCTTTCAGATCTAGAATTAGGAGAATTCTTTACCAACCAAAACATAGGATAAACAATTAAAGATAATATAGACAAGTTTGCCATAAAATTAAAAGGTTTTACACAAATAAAATCAATCCAGCTAGGATTAGAAGAGCATATCAATTGGAGAAGAAATCTTTGCATCAAATATCTCTGATAAAAAATCAGGTATCCAAGATCACAGGGAAATGGCAAAAATATTTAAGACTAAGAGCCACTCCGCAATGAATGAGTGGTCAAAAACTATGAATGATTTCAAGAGGAATGCAAACTATTCACAAACATATGAAAGACTGCCCCAAATCACCAATAAAAAGAGAAACTCAAGCTAAAGCAACTCTGAGGTTTCACAAAATAACCATCATATTGGCAAAAATTATTCTTAAAAAACAGAAAGTGTTTATTCTAAGGGGCCATAGTAAGACAAGCACACTAAGACACTATTGGTAGGATTTCATGCAAATGTATTGGAAAACAATTTAAAATTATCTGATAAATGTCACTCAATTGTTCCTATCTTTTGAATTAGTGAAGAAACTCTTGACTATATACCCTCAGGAGGTAAATAGCAATAAAAAAAAAAGGCCCCAAATATTTTTGAAACATTAATTTGTTGTTGTTGTTCAGTCATTTGTTGTGTCCCTCTTTGTGACTCCATTTAGGGTTTTCTTGGCAGAGATACTGGAGTATTTCGTTATCTTCTCTAACCCATTTTAAAGATGAGTAAACTGAGGCAAACAGGGTGAAGAGAATTGCCCAGGATCACATAGCTAATAAGTATCTTAGACCAAATATAAACTGAGGAAGATGGGTCTTCCTGACTCCAGGCCAGGTGCTCTATCTACTGCTCCATCTAGCTGACCAAGAATATTAGTAGTCAAATTTTTTTATTTTACTACCACAAAAATATTAACAGCATCACTCTTTGTGCTAGTAAAAATAAAACCAAAATGGGGATGCAGATCCACTAAAGAATAGAGGGAGATGGAGTCGAGATGGTAGAGTAAGGCAGGAACTCATCTGAACTCTCCCAAATTCACCTCCAAATAACTATAAAATAACATCTCAAATTGAATTTTGGAGCAGCAGAACCAACAAAAGGAAGTGGTGGAACAATTTTTCCAGCTCAAGACAACTTAGAAAGTTGGCAGGAAAGGTCTATCTTATTTGGGTAAAAGGGGAGCACAGTCCAGTGCAGGTAACATCCAGGGAGGCTAGCAACAGACCACACGCCAGCAAGCCAGCTGCAAGGCTCCAAGCCCTGGTGCGGGCCAGTAGCCTGGTCACACAGCCCTGGTGCAGTAGGCCAGTAAAGGGGCCCCACACCCCCTAGTATAGTAGGCCAGTGGTGAGGCCCCATGCTCCTGGCACTAAAAGCTTGAGACAGTACCCCCTCCACCCCAGGAATAGAGGCCAACTTTATAAGTCACAAAATAGGCTGGAAAATGAGCAAAAAAAAAAAAAAGAACACAACTATGACAGTGACAGGGAAGATCAAAACACAAACTCAGAAGAAGACAACAATGTCAAAATGCCTATACGCAAAGCCTCAATAAAAACGTGAATTGGTCTCAGGCCCTAAAAAGAACTGCTGGAAGAGCTCAAAAAGTATTTTAAATCAAATAAGAGAGGTAGAAGAAAAATTGGGGAAGGAAATAAGAATGATATAGGAGAATTGTGAAAAAAGTCAACAGCTTGATAAAGGACAAAAAAAATGGAAAAAGATGTACAAAAATTCACTGAAGAAAACAATACCTTTAGAAGTAGATTTGGCCAAAGTGGGGAAAAAAAAGGTACAAAAACTCCCTAAAGAAAAAAAATTCCTTAAAAATTAGAATTGGGCAAGTGGAAGCTAATGACTTCATAAGACATCAAGAAACAATAAGACAAAATCAAATGAATGAAAAAAATGGAAGAAAATGTGAAATATCTCATTGGAAAAACAACTGACCTGGAAAATAGATCCAGTAGAGATAATTTAAGAAGTATTAGACAACCTGAAAGCCACGATAAAAAAAAAAAAGCCAGAATTTCATATTTCAAGAAATTATCAAGGAAAATTGCTTTGATATCCTAGAATCAGAGATTAAAATAGAAATTGAAAGAATCCACCTATCAACTCCTGAAAGAGATTCTCAAATGAAAACTCCCAAGAATATTGTAGATCTCCCAGGTCAAGGAGAAAATACTGCAAGACACCAAAAAGAAACACCTTAAATATCATGGATCCACAGTCAGGATTACAAAGGAGTTAGCAGCTTCTATATTAAAGGATCAGAAGGCTGGAGATAAGATATTCCAAAAGGCAAAGGAGCTAGGATTACAACCAAGAATCATCTACCCAGCAAAACCAAATATAGTCCTTCAGGTGAAAAAAATGGATTTTCAATGAAACAAAGGATTTTCTAACATTCCTGTTAAAAAGACCAGAGCTGAACAGAAATTTTGATATTCAAATACAAGACTTGAGAGAAACATAAAAATGCAAAATGGAAAGAGAAAACATAAGGGAAGGTTAAACCGTTTACATCCCTAAATGAGAAGATGATACTTGAAACTCTTAAAAACTTTGTCACTATTAGGGCAGTTACAAGGAGTATAATATAGACAGAGGGTGTGGTAATAAGTTGACTTTGATGGGACGGTATAAAAACAATTAAGGAGTGAAAAAGAAGATTGCACTGGGAGAGAGGGAATGGGAATGGAGAGGTAGAATGGGGTAGATTATTAAACATGAAGAGGTACAAAAGACCTATTACAGTGAAAGGAAAGATAGGGCAAGTGGGCATGACTTGAGCTTGAACTTTACTCTCACCAGAATTGGCTCAAAGATGGAATAACACACACTCCATTGGGTATAGAAATCAATCTTACTGTATAGGGAGGTAGGAGGGGAGGGGAATAAAAGAAGGGAGGAGAAAGACTGATAGAAGGGAGAGTTATTGGGGGAGTCAGTGGTCAGAAGCAAAATATTGGTGAGGAGGAACAGGGTTAAAGGAGAGAGAGAGAAAGATAAACAGGGGGGAAATAGGATAGAAGGAAACACACAGTAATCATATCTTTGAATGTGAATGGGATGGACTCACCCATAAAATGGAAATGGATAGTAGAATGGATTAAAAA